TCCTGACCTCGTGATCTGCCCATCTCGGCCTCCCAAAGTGCTGGGATTACAGGCTTGAGCCACCGTGCCCGGCCAACTTCCTTCACTTCTTAGACTTTGGGCCTTCAGAAGCTTTTTAAAGTTTGTCACTTGCATTCCTTTAAAGCAGTGGGCAGGATACTGGAAAAGATGACCTGTGGCAGTGATTGGGGGTCTGGGACCCAAGCTGCCTGAATGCTTTAGTTAGGCCTCTGCTTCCCAACCATTTGAGGTTTTGATCTCATTAAGAATCTCTATAAAGAGAAGGAAGGAAGTTGTTTTTAGCAACCATCATTTCCTTGTCTTAAAGTGACACTACTGAACCTCAAACACTGAAACTAGGTTGCAGCATTTGTATTTGATACTGTTGCGAGTGATACTGTTTACTTGGCATTCTTGAAGTTACTCTCTGCAGATGCAACAAATTTGTCTTTGCTTGGCAATTCCTAACACAGCCATCTTATCCAACCCTGGGTATCTCTTAACTAGCTTTGGAACTATTTCCCAGAAAGAGAGTTACAGAAACGTCCTCTCACCTGCTTGTTGGCCCTTGAGTCCAGACATATTTCTTTAGGAAGACAGGTGGCCCTTCTCCAACTTGCTATACTACACATTGTAAGGACTGTATTCATTCTAGTACTGCTATAAATAAATACCTGAGACTGGGTGATTTATAAAGAAAAGAGGTTTAATTGGCTCATGGTTCTGCAGGCTGTATGGGTAGCATGGCTGCAGAGGCCTCAGGAAACATTTAGTCGTGGTGAAAGGGGAAGCAGGCATGTCTTCACATGGCCGGAGCAGGAGAGAGAGAAAGTGGGGCAGTGCTATACACTTTTAAACAACCAGATCTCACGAGAACTCACTATCATGAGAACAGCAAGGGGGAAATCCGCCTCCATGATCCAGTCACCTCCTCCAACTTTGGGGATTACAACTCAACATGAGATTTGGTGGGGACACAAATGCAAACCATATAGGGACTATGAGAGGAGACAAGAAGTGGGAAATGACTATTGCAGAGATATGAGATCTGGAATACCTTAGAGAGAAGAGAATTCACGCTACTCTAGTACCTGCCCAGGTGTGTTGTTTAACACTTTATCTGGGAGCAGGCCACCTGCAGCTTCTGAGGAGGGTAGGCGTGTATTCTTGGCCTCCCTCTTCCTCTTTTGGATTAAAAGCCAAACCAGCTAGGTGTTGGGCTACTTGTGTTCTTGTGTTTGGCACTGAGGGTTCATGTGGTGGGATGTAGCAAGGCAAACATTGAGCAGTGTGTGCTAAAGGAAATGTTGTGCATTGGGTGCCTGTGGCTACAAGGGAGAGGGGGACTGATCGGCTGTGCTGTTGATGAAAAGTCAGTGATGTGCTTTTAGAGATTTTCCACAAAGGGCCTTGGTATAAACATGGAGGAGTGTTTCCAGCCTGGCTTTTGTCTCGTACCTAAAGATTAGAGATAATGGAGGGGATAGAGTCTAAGTATGTGTTTCATTCCATTTAATAGGCACTGTAGACTCAGACAGATTTGAGTTTTAATCTAGGCATTACTACTTATTGGTTATTTAATTATAGAAAAGTTACTTAACTTTTCTGAGTCTTGGATTCATCATCAGTAAAGTGAATGTAAGGTTTTTTTAAGGATTAAATGAAATAATATGAATAAAATGCCTAGCATGGTACCAGACATTCATTAGGTGCCCAAACTAGTATTCGAGTTTGTTTCCCCTTCATTTACTGTGCTTTTCCAGTTTGTTTACTCAACAGAATATTGAGCACTTCCTGTGTATCAGTTACTGTGTTGGGGACATCAGCTGGAGGAGAATGTGCTCCTTGCTCCTAGTCTGATGAGTTAGTTCATTATTGAAGCTAATGTTCTGTAAGCAGTGATGGTGGCATGCAGAGAGGTGAGGCATCCTGTTCAAACTCAGGAGTCAGAGAAGACTGCCTAGGTCATGTTGCAGCTGATTTTTTTAAGTTGGGTGAAGAAGAAGAAAGGGCTCCAGGGACAGCACTTGTAAGGGAATAAAGAGCTGAGCTAGCTTGATGCACGTGGGAATCAATAGTGGGGCTGTTTTTCAGGGGGACCAGCCTGAGTTTTCATTTCCTTAGGCATTCTCCTATCACTTTGGTATGTCTGTTGTGTTGCATTGGTAGGGAAGATGTGGATTCCTGAAAGAGGACTAAGTGAGGGTTTGTGAATATGTTGAGTGTACATAATACACATGCATGTGTGCGTGTAGTCTTGTGAAGTGATTGGCAGGATTTGACTTTTCCCTTTGTCTCTATGCTTCTCTACCATAAGCAAACTCTGTAATTGTTCCAAGCACGGTATTTCCATAGTTTGGACTTGTGTGGTGGTCTGTTTTCTGTCACCTCATTTTGAGGTAACTGGCTTCAAAATCCAGTTTTAGCATTTATGCTGTTCTTAGCCCACTATCATTTTGAATATTGGCAGTGCTGCGTTGTGATTTTTTGTACTCTCCTTGAGAAAGAGTCCATGTAGGTCAGCCTTTGCAGGTAAAGAGGGCGACATCCCGTGGCTTCTGCAGTCTGTCTGTTGGTGGTATTCATTCGTAGCTGTAGACAGGAATCTTAGATCTTCCTTGGCCATTACTCTGTTAATCAAAATACAAGGTAGTCTCTCAATTTTTGTGTTTTAAATATTACTTAAGTGAAAAAACCATCTCTCTTAGGGCTGGGTTCAGTGGCACAGGCTTGTAATCCCAGTTTATGGGGAGGCTGAGATGGGAGGATCACTTGAGGCCAGGAGTTGAGACCAGCCTGGGCAGCATAGTGAGATACTGCCACTCTCTATCTTAACAATAACAAAAAAAATCAACTGTGTGTGGTGGTGCATGCCTGTGGTCCCAGCTATTTAGGAGGCTGAAAGGGGAAGATCATTTGAGTCCAGGAGTCAGAGGCTGCAGTGAGCCATGTTTGCGCCACTGCATTCCAGTTTGGGTGACAGAGCAAGACCCTGTCTCAAAACAAAACAAAACCTCTCTAATTCCTTCCCTCTAGCTACTCTGAAAACACTTGATGAGGATGTCAGGATTCCTTTCAGAATTACCCCAGACAAATGACTACTTCTTCTTCTTTTTTTTTGAGACAGAGTCTCACTCTGTCGCCCAGGCTGGTGTGCAGTGGTGCAATCTCAGCTCACTGCAACCTCCGCCTCCCGAATTCAAGTGATTTTCCTGCCTCAGCCTCCCAAGTAGCTGGGATTACAGGCACCCGCCTCTACACCTGGCTGATTTTTATATTTTTAGTAGAGACAGGGTTTCACCATGCTGGCCAGGCTGGTCTTGAACTCCTGACCTTGTGATCCACTTGCCTTGGCCTCCCAAAGTGTTGAGATTACAGGCGTGAGCCACCGCACCCAACCTTTTTTTTTTTTTTTTTTTGTGAAACAGGGTCTCACCCTGTCACCCAGGCTAGAGAGCAGTGGTGATGTCTTGGCTTGCTGCAACTTCCACCTTCCATGCTCAAGGTTTTTCATGCCTCAGCTTCCCAGGTAGCTGAGACCACAGGCATGTACCACACCTGGCTGATTTTTGTATTTTTTGTAGAGATGGGGTTTTGCCATGTTGCCCAGTCTGTTCTCAAACTCCTGAGCTCAAGTGATCTGCCCGTCTCAGCCTCCCAAAGTGCTGGCATTACAGGCATGAGCCACTGTGCCTGGCCACGAATGACTTTTTACAGTTTTCGTTATTTCCCCCCAGGTGCTGCCATGAAAGCAGGCCTACCTTTCCCTACAGTTGTGAAAATTGGAGAGTATTTTGTGAATTTGATTTAGAAAGTAAGTGACCATGCTGAACAGACAGTTTGAGACCCAGAAGGCTGGCTTAGAGGTTTTGTATTAAAGCAAACACTGATTGAGAAGATGCAAGAGACAGGCTCTTCCTCCCTGAGATAAGCCCAAACTTAAGCCCGGACTTTGGAGTGAAGAAAGCTTCTGTCCTCTTCTTACTCCCTGAACTCTCCTGTCCCAGTATGGCTGCTGGAAATAAAGTCACTTTAAGTAAAAATAATGCTGGTGTTTGGTTCAATTTTCTTTCTTCTTTTTCCCACCAACACACAGGATGGAATTTAAGCCTGTATAGTTAGCAAGAGATGAAATTGCTGTCTCAGCTCCAGAATAAACTCCGGGGTCAGCAAGGGAATTCTGTTCTCCTATCTGAACTTGTCCTACTTAACCGTGAAAAGCAGACTAAATCAGAGGCAGCTGAGTTGATTTAGGGAGCAGTAGATGTAAAACGAGTTTTTCAGATCACCTTTTTTTTTCTAAGATGGGATCTCACTCTGTTGCCCATGCTGGAGTACATGGCACCATCTCGGCTCGCTGCAACCTCCACCTCCCAGGCTCAAGCGATCCTCCCATGTCAGCCTCCCTAGTAGCTGGGACTTCAGGTGCATGCCACCATGCCTAGCTAATTTTTTGTAGTGATGGGGTTTTGCCATATTGGGCAGGCTGGTCTTGAACTCCTGGGCTGAAGCTGAGATTACAGGTGTGAGCTGTCTCACCTGGACTCGAATAATCTTTCATCTTTCAGAATTGATTGATGAGAAGGAAGATCCTCTTCTCTCTCCACATTTGCTTTATTCCTAGCCACACTGGTTTTGGGTGAGGGAAGGTAGCCCCTCGTGGAAAGTTGTGGGCGGTGAGGCAGAAAGATGTATTTTTTGTTAGAGAGAGAGAAAAACTTTCTGAGTGACAGAGTGCGGACTCATGAATGGCCTCACAGTGGTGGTGGCACCTCAGTGTCTTAGTCCTTAATGAAGCCAACTTTGATCATATGAGGGCAATAGGAAGACCACTGGAAGCTCCCTGGAAATCTAGTGTTCTCCCAGGGCCCCAAATGACGACCAAGACTGGTTGCCCAAAAATGCTGAAGTGGGACTGTACTGCTTACCTGAGGACCACTGTAGCATGGTATCCATCCTCCTGACGCTGTAACATTTCCTATCATTTCTCTCCCCTTCAGACTGACGGACTTCAAGGATGCAGCTGCTACTACCGGAGGTGTGTGGCACCTTACCTGAGCCAGGCCATGAGACCGTGTGGCCATGATGTGGGCCCCTCATGGCCTCAGCAGGAGCAGAGCACTACAGTATTGGCCTCCGCCAGAAAAACAGCTTCAAGCAGAGTGGTCCCTCAGGCACAGTGTCTGCCACGCCACCTGAGAAACCCTCGGAGGGCAAAGTCTGGCCTCAGGCCCATCAGCAAGTGAAGCCAATCTGGAAGCTGGAAAAGAAGCAAGTGGAGACACTGTCAGCAGGGTTGGGCCCAGCCCTCTTGGGCATCCCACCCCAGCCAGCATATTTCTTTTGCCCTAGCACTTTATGTAGCTCTGGGACCACGGCTGTCATTGCAGGCCACAGCAGTTCCTGTTACCTACACTCTCTCCCGGACTTGTTCAACAGCACCCTCCTATACCGCCGCTCCAGCTATAGGCACAAACCCTACCAGCAACTGGAGTCTTTCTGCTTGCGTTCGAGCCCATCAGAAAAAAGCCCCTTTTCTCTCCCTCAAAAGAGCCTCCCTGTCAGTCTCACTGCCGACAAGGCCACTTCTTCCATGGTCTTCCCCATGGCCCAGCCCATGGCCTCCTCATCCACAGAACCATACCTCTGCTTGGCAGCGGCTGGGGAAAACCCTTCAGGGAAAAGCCTGGCGTCTGCCATCTCAGGGAAGATCCCATCTCCACTCTCTTCCTCCTATAAGCCCATGCTGAATAATAATTCCTTCATGCGGCCAAATAGCACGCAAGTGCCTTTATTGCAGACCACAGAGGGCCTGAAGCCAGTATCGCCACCCAAGATCCAGTCTGTCTCCTGGCATCATTCAGGGGGTACTGGAGACTGTGCACCGCAGCCTGTTGACCATAAGGTGCCCAAAAGCATTGGCAGTGTCCTAGCTGATGCCAGTGCCCATATCGCCTTGTCTACCCCTAACCCCCATGACACATCCACCACCAGTGTTGCCTCTTCCTGGTATAACCGGAATAACTTAGCCATGAGGGCAGAGCCACTTTCCTGTGCTCTGGATGACAACTCTGATTCCCAGGCCCCAACTAAGGAGATTCGGTTCACTGAGGCCGTAAGGAAATTGACTGCAAGAGGCTTTGAGAAGATGCCGAGGCAAGGCTGCCAGTTTGAACAGTCTAGTTTCCTGAACCCCAGCTTCCAGTGGAACGTCCTCAACAGGAGCAGGCGGTGGAAACCTCCTGCGGTAAATCAGCAGTTTCCTCAGGAGGATGCTGGATTGGTTGGTCGGGTCCTCCCTGGTGCCTCAGATACCTTGGGGTTGGACAATACAGTCTTCTGTACCAAACGTATCAGCATTCACCTCCTTGCCTCACATGCCAGTGGGCTCAATCACAGCCCTGCCTGTGAATCTGTAATTGACCCCCCACCATTTGGAGAAGGCAAAGCTCCAGGTCCCCCTTCTCCTCAAATTCTTGGCATAGCCAACGTGGCTACCCGCCTCTCTTCCATCCAGCTGGGCCAGTCTGAGAAGGAGAGACCTGAGGAGGCCAGGGAGCTGGACTCATCTGATAGGGATATTAGGTACGTTGGATAATGTTTTTGGTTCATTTAGAGCAGTAGAATGTATATACCATAATTTGGGATGGCATTGACCCTGTACCTCTGAAGGTTTTATTTTTTAGCTGCCCTAGAATTTTTGGTTTTCACTTCAGGGCAAGGGTTGGGAAACTACAGCTTGCAGACCGAATCTTGCTTGTTGCCTGCTTTTGTAAATAAAGTTTTATTGTAATGCAGCCTTGTCCATTCATTTGCAGTTGTCTGTGGCTGCTTTCTTGTTACAATGGTAGAGCTGAGTAGTTGTGATAAACTGACTGGCCTGCAAACAAAAATATTTACTTTCTGGTCCTTTAGAGAAAGAGTTCGTCAACCCCTATTTTAAGTAAAAACCAGGAGAGAAATAAGAATTGTGAACACCAAGTGTTGAAGCCTGTGACTTTCCTACTTTTTCCAAACCAAATCAGGTTTCCAGACATTCTTGGCATGACAGCCATTTATAGTTAGGGCACGCACATAGTTGGCTCCTTCTCTTGTGTTTTGTTATTTTCTTGGAAACTTGGTCCACTAAGGCCTTCTTCTGAGTTCCCAGAGAGTGGCCTAGGGACATTTCAAGTCAATTACCAGATACCCATTGATGGTTTTTTAGATGTAGAATGTTGTACTTATATGCTATGAGGGACACCAAAGAAATGGAAAACATAGTGCCTCTTTGCAGAATGGGAGATGTAAGGTTGAGGAGCTATGCCTAGACCTAAGCTTTGAAGACAAGAGAAATGAGTTGTGAGGTCCAGGCAAGACGTAGCAGACTGGTAATGGAGAAGGGGCAAATACTGGGAGATGATGAAGGAATGAGAATCTAACTGTGACCTCTTTGATGGAGTTGACTAGGCTGGGGGCATGATTCTTTCTTTTAGTTCAGCTACTGACCTCCAGCCAGATCAGGCTGAGACTGAAGATACAGAAGAAGAACTAGTAGATGGTTTGGAAGACTGTTGTAGCCATGATGAGAATGAAGAGGAGGAGGGTGAGTAGGGAACCCTTTCACTTCCAACTAGGAGTTGGTTATGACATTTTGGGCAGGGGGCTAACAATTATGTACTAGATCCTTGACTCACATTACCTACATCAGTCATTTGTTTGGAGTTCTTAAGAAGGAGGTAGTGCCTTCTAGAGGACTTTGGTCTCTAGTCCTCCTGTCCCACTGGTCTTACCTTCCCCTTGCTTCTGTTGAGGAAGGCAAAGCAGCAGGGTGGTGCTTGTGGCTCCCCAAGAAGGGTTGAGCCCAGGATATTCAAGGAAGAGTTGCCTAGGCTTGGTAAGCTTGTGCTGCAGCCTTTTCTAGTCAGAATTTCTCTGTTCTTCCTTCCTCTAGGAGACTCAGAGTGCTCCTCATTAAGTGCTGTCACCCCTAGCGAATCGGTGGCCGTGATCTCTAGGTAAGTGTGGCTGTATAGATCATTGTTAGATGCTCATCTTTTGTCTCTTAAAGATTATAAAGAGATTAACTACTCAAGTCATTAATGGCCTTAAAAGCTCTAATGCATTTTTACCAAATTTTTGTGTTTGGGACTTTAGTTTTTGAACAGGGAGTAATGGGGGGCCAGAAGCACATCTCATCTGTGGGGCTTAAAAACAGTATCATGGGCCAGGCGCAGTGGCTCACACCTGTAACCCCAGCACTTTGGGAGGCTGAGGCAGACGGATCACCTGAGGTCAGGAGTTCGAGACTAGCCTGGCCAACATGGCAAAACCCTGTCTCTACTAAAAATATAAAAATCAGCAAGGCATGGTGGTGCACACCTGTAATCCCGGCTGCTTGGGAGGCTGAGGCACGAGAATCACTTGAACCTGGGAGGTGGAGGTTGCAGTGAGCTGAGGTCACGCTGCTGCACTCCAGCCTGGGTTACGGATTGAGACTCTGTCTCAAAAACAAAACAGCAACAACAAAAACAGTATCATGGACTGGGCACAGTGGCTTATGCCTATAATCCTAACACTTTGGGAGGCTAAGATGGGTGAATCACTTGAGGCCAGGAGTTAGAGACCAGGCTGGCTAACATGGTGAAACCCCATCTCTACTAAAAATAGAAACAATTAGCTGGGTATGGTGGCGCACACCTGTGATCGTTGACGTCCCAAAGTGCTGGGATTATAGGGATGAGCCACTGCACCTGGCCCTAATTTTTAATGAAAAACTAGCTGTATATCATTGGGCTTGACCAATATATGGAGCACCCAGAGTCGGGTTGCTTTTCTTTGCATCAACCCTGCCTTAGATGAAGCTAGGAATAAAGGGAGCCTTCTCTGCCTTGTTTAGCATGGACGAGATGGGCTACATCTCTGTGAAATGTGATGGTGTGGCAGCAGCACACCAATTTTAGAGCCCTTAACCTGTAAGGTGGAGACAGAGCTGTTTGGAAAGTGGGAGCGAGAACTGGGATTCTCTGTGAAGGTGGATAGAAATCCCATCACAGGCACCCTGAGTCTGATGCATAAGTTGTCACTTTCAGCCCAACCCATCCTCCTTCCAGAAAAGCAAAACTACTTCGGGTTATATATATTGGTTGTTGATTAAGTACCTCCACTCTTCATAGGAGAAAGATATTTGACATGTAATTGATTTGGAGTCCTACCTTTTTTACACTTAAGGGCCTACTTCAGGACTGCTACACAGCCCTGCTACACAGCCCTTTAGCCTTCCTGATATATAAGATAAAATTCACAAAAGGTGTTTGTTAATCATTTGCTCATTAATTAATTAACTTTTACAAATTGCACATAACTTCTTCTCTATATGAGGCTTAAACATAATTTTCAAGAAAATGGAAATACATATTTTTATTTTTTAGAGTCAGAGTCTTGCTGTATTGCCCAGGCTAGAGTGCAGTGGATCCATCATAGCTTACTGTAACCTCGAACTCCTGGGCTCAAGCAATCCTCCTGCCTCAGCCCCCTGGGACTACAGGACCACCCACCACACCCAGCTAATTAAAAAAAATTTTTTTGTAGAGTTGTGGGGGAAGGTCTCATTATATTACCCAGGCTGGTCTTGAACTCTGGTCTCAAGTGATCCTCTTGCTGTAGCCTCCCAAAGCACTGAGATTAGGGGTGTGAGCCACTGCACCTGACCAAAAATGGAGATAGATGAATTCCAAACCACTCTGCATTTTAAAGATGACTAAAATACTTTTAGATTGCTAAAATCTTATTTTTTTTCTATTATGAAGTATTTGTATATTTATTATGGAAAATTTGGCAACCACTGAAAAACAGAAAAATCATTGGAAACACTACCTGTTTCTTTACACAACAATATTTTCACTGCATTTCCTGTCGTGCTCTAAGAATCATGTAATTTTAGAGATGGAAGCCATCAAGTCCAGTGTAAATATTGAGGACCAGAGAAGTGAAGTAGCTGTTCCAAGGTCATAGTTTCTAGCATGGCTAGACTAGAAGCCAGGTCTCTTGAGGAGAAGTTTAGGACTCTTGTGAGACGACTCACAAGGGTTTTTTGTTTGTTTTTAAATTAAGCTTGTGATATTGAGATAATTATAGATTTCACATACAGTTGTAAGAAAGAATGCAGAGAGGTCCCCTGTACTCTCTACTCAGTTTCCCCCATTGGGTAACATCTTGTAGAAGTACAATATAGTACAATTGGGATGTTGTTAACATTGTTAGAGTCAAGATATGGAACATTTTGCTGGGCACAGTGGCTCACGCCTGTAACCCCAGCACTTTGGGAGGCTGAGGCAAGTAGATCAGTTGAAGTCAGGAGTTTGAGACCATCCTGGCCAACATGGTGAAACCCTGTGTTTTACTAAAATACAACATCTTCTAAAAATACAAAAATTGGCTGGGCATGATGGTGGGCACCTGTAATCCCAGCTACTCGGGAGGCTGAGGCAGGAGAATCACATGACCTGGGAGGCAGAGGTTGCAGTGAGCTGAGATCGCGCCACTGCACCCCAGCCTGGGTGACAAGAGGCAAGACTGTCTCAAAAAAAAAAAAAAAGATACAGAATGTTGTCATCACTGTAGGAATTCCTCCTCCTGCTACACTTATAGCTACACCTACTTTCCTCCTACTCCCATTCCCTCCTTAATCCCCTGGCAACCACTAGTTCTCCTT